GCCTGGCTGCGCTGCCCTCACACTCGAGGTCAGCCAGTGCTCCTGGCACTCATGCAACTGGCAGACACCGCCTGGCTGCGCTGTCCTCACACTCGAGGGTCAGCCAGTGCTCCTGGCACTGAGGCCCTGGAGTGTCTTCCCATCTGGGGCTCAGCATCCAGCACTAGCGTGGGAGGTGGTCAGCTACGCCCAGGCTTTTCCTGGCCTGATTCCCGCAGCGAAGCTCCAGGACTTTCTTCCTACACGTCTGAGTCCAGAGGTCCTGCTGACACGTCCTCCGTAGGTGACCCAGCTGCCGTGTGGCATCATTATGGCAGCTTCCAGCCTGCCCACTGCCCGGCAAGCCATTGGGGGAGGGGTGGTAGATGGGGACTATTTTGCAAGAAGTTGTGAATCAAGAGATTCTGACCCCAAACCAACGAGCCCGAAGGGCACCTGCGTGCTTCCTGGGGAGCAGCCGCCATCTCTCCACGCCCTCAACTCGCCCGGAAATGGGAGGGACAGGGCTGCCTGCGCCATCCAGGGGCTGTTGACCGCAGCACAGGAGCTGCCCCACACCACTAGGCAGGTGGTGCCCAGACAGGAGCCAGGGGCCGTGTGGCCACAGACCAGGGAAATGTGAGACCCCACGCCCAGCCATGCGTCTGCTGTGCTTGTCTGTCTGTGGCCTCCCTCGTCCTCAGTTTCCCTTCCAAAAAACCCATCTTGGGAGGCTGGACAGAGTTCCAGGCTGTTAGCTCAGGCAGTGTGGGCAGCCTCAGGGGCCAGGCTGGGCGGGACAAGGTCGTCTCCCCCATGTAGGGACCAGGCTAGCAGGGCTGCGGTGCCTGAGATTAGCACAGGGCTGGGTGCTCCTCGGGGCCCAGGGTCAGCCACAGCCTCCCCAGAGAAGGGCCAACCACACTGACAAGCCTGCCCTCCCCTCACCAAGCTGAGCTCGGTGGCCGGTGGCCATTGGGCTCAGGGTCAGCACTCCACGAGAGGGGCCCCCGGACCCGCTAATCCTGTCTCCCTTGGTGTCTCCTACAGAGGCTCTGACGGCCACCACAGAGGTGACATCGGCACTGCAGCCCAGCCTCATGTGCCTGGGAAACCTGCAGAAGCTGAGGGAGCTGCAGCGGGACCTGGCCGGCATTGAGGGGCTCGTGGTGCCCGGCAGGGTGAGCGGGGGCTTGGCTGGCTGCCCACAGCAGGTTCACCTGCCCACACGCCACCAATTCAGCGGGGATTCATTCTGTAGTCACGGGGTTGTCACATCAGCCTTGACTCTCATCACCCAAACTGCCCTTTGCCCCGGGAGCCACCAGGCTGGGCTCTGTCTGCCACTTGACCTCTGCTGGGCACCTCTCACCAGAGAAGCCGTCGGTCTGCTGCGCCTGACCAGACGCACGCACGCACGCAAGTCAGTCCCTCTGTGCCCGCGGCGGTGAACCCCGTTGTTGGCGGGTTGGCCATGCAGAGTGGGTCCTCTGGGTGGCTTCCTGTCCCTGTCACTCTGAGGTGCCCCTCAGTGCTGGCGGTCCATCCAGAAGAGGGGGTAACAACAGCTCTGTGCTGAACTCTTCGTGGCACTGCCAGCCTGTTTCCCGCAGTGGTCACAGAACAAAGCTCGTTGAGATCCATCTTGGCGCCCCGGGCCTCCAAGTCGCCTGCAGCCACGGGTGCACGCTGCCAGAGTGAGAGGGCTGACAGGGTCCGCCCTCGTGAGCCACTGAGGCCACAGCACTGGGAATCCCAACATGGCTTTGCCCCTCTGAATCATGTGGTTTGTCCCTCTGGATTGAAAGCTTAGGGACCTTCTCGTTATGCCCCCCCCCCCCTGTTTATCTCAATGGCATCTTCACACATGACCCTCCCAGGCATCTCCTCAGCCGCCCCACCCACCCACCCCCACCCCTGCCACTTTGCCTTGACCACCACCCTTGGATCAAGGCACTCCCCTGCCCGGGGGTGGACGGACACTGGGGAGGCCTGTGAGGCTGGCTGACCTGGTTGTCCACCCATCCACCCGCAGGAGTTCCTCCGGGAGGGCTGTCTGTGCCAGCTTACTGCAAAGGGGCTGCAAGCCAGGATGTTCTTCCTGGTGCGTCAGGGCGGGGCCTGTGCAGTCTGGGGGGTAGGGGTGGGGTACCTGAGGGTCTCCTGCTCCAGCCGGCAGGGGTGGGGGTGGAAGGGTGGGGCTGGCTGCTGACAAGTACCACCAATTGAAAAGGACAGGAGGCAGGGGGTGAAGTAAAACCCCCTTTCTGCTATGATAAGGGCACCCCAAGCTGACCTTGGCCTCTGCCGACAAGCCAGCCCTGGGGGGCCGGAGTTGAGATGTCCTCCTGTTTCCTGCCCCCTCAGTTCTCCGACATGCTGCTGTACACCAGCAGGGGCTTCCCAGGGACCAGCCGCTTCCAGGTCCGGGGCCTGCTGCCCCTGCACGGCATGCTGGTGAGTGTGGGCCCCACACATCCTGCACCTGGCCTGCTGTCACTGTCGGGCTCTGACCCAGAAACACCCTCAACCCCACCCCCCAGGTTTCAGGTCTCAGCCACACTCCCAGAAGTTGTGGGAGCTGCACACACACAGCTTGATCCTTATGAAGGGTAGGGGGGCTGAGAGCCCACAGCTCAGATAGCTTGTTCCAGCGTGCCCACTGCAGTCCCTCAGTGCGCTAGCACCGCCACCCCTCCTCCCTGCCAGGAAACGCCAGCCCTTTCCTTTCCCGTGGATGACTTGGCTGACAGCACCAATGGCAATCCACAGTGTCACAGCCCTCTCCCCACATGCCCCTGCCTTGCTGCTGTTGGCCACACTTGGGCCCAAGGCTCCCTGTGAACTGGCCGCCCAAGTCCACAGAGCAGGGCCTAAGGCAGGCCACAGTCCACTGCAGCCCCCCATGTTTCCAGTCTCCTCTCCTCCTCTCCCGACACTTGGCACCCTCTCCTGCTGGCCATTGGTCCTCCTTGGTGATTGTCCCTGGGGAGCCCATCTGGGGTTTGGCTGCTAGTGGAGATCCCGGATGAAGGGCCCCAAGGGCCATGGTCTTGGCTCCCGGTCTCTGTGCCACTGTGCGCCTAGTCTCTGAGTGACTGACTTCTGCTCCATCACCAACCGCAGGTGACCAGTGAGGCCATGGGGCCCATGAGCTGGGGGATGTGCCCGGGCTCCTGACTATCCCTGCTACAGTGCACTGTGACTGGTGGTCCGGTCCAGGGACACTCCTGGGCCTGTCCTCTACCAGGTCCAGGCCTGAGGGCTTCTGCGGTGAGCCTCCATGAGGCTGCCAGATGTAGAGGCCTGCTGCTGGCAGCTCTGCACCCCCCACCTCCAGCCCCACCCCTGGGTCTTGTGTGAGGCAGTACAGGAGCCCACAGCTTGGTCCCCAGGGCTGGCTGCCCGGTGGGGTCTGAGTGCTGTGGCCCAGAGCACTTTGTGGAGCTGTCATTGCAGAAGCCATTGGCAGTGCCACCCACTTCCCGACGTCCCAGCTAGGACATGCCTTCCACAGGGGCTCCTCACTGGCCCCTCTTGTGCTAGACATGTCTCCACAGCCTCCTGTGGTGGGTGGCGGGGTCATGGAGGCCCTAGCCACACCTGAGGACATGGGCCACTCCCGGTTGCTCAGGGTTAGAACACTCGTCACACAGCCTGCCTTGTGCTCATGGTGAGCCCCACCGGGGGCACAACTGGGCAGTGGTGCCCGGTCCCCTGGCCCCTCTCATGCATCCCGTCTACCCTCCTCCCGAGAGCCAGCTCACGAGGCCCGGCCCCACACACAGCCCTGTGCCCGCTTAGTGACGCTGTCAGAACTGGACAGCTGTCCCTGATCCAGCCTCCATGGCGTCCTGGGCAGGGACTCCCTGGCATCCTGTAGAACACCGGTGGCATCCCAGGACAAAGTCCTTTAAAGAACATTGAGATTTCCGCTGGCCAGGGGCACCTGCTGTGTGTGTGACTCAAACCCTGTACACAGCATGAAGCTATACACGGCTCCTCTGGCTGGAGGCCATGCCCTCACCGCTGCCCCATGGGTGGGCTCCGTGGAGGCCAGCATTGCCTCCTGGCTGACCCGTGAGCAAGTGTGGGGTGTGGGAGCTACTTGGCGTTGTTGTGTCTTGGGTCTCCTCCCCGCCACCCTCACTGTCCCCTGTGCTTGACTTGCAGCTTATAGTGCTGGACCCCCCGGTGAGTAGCTGGGCCTCCAACCCAGCCCCCTCCCAGCACTACGTAGCTTAGAACAGAGGTGGGCTCCCGGAGCACTGCTCTGCCCAGTGACCCCCGCTGTGCCCGCCCCCAGGTGGAGGAGAGCAGGCAGGAGTGGTCCGTCCCCCACTGCTTCACCATCTACACCGCCCAGAAGACGGTCCTGGTGGCAGCCAGGTAAAAGCAGGTACCACTCTGCAGGACGTGGGACTGCAGAGGGCCCCTCCATGCACCCCCCGTGAGCTGGTCTGCGGCCTCTCCCAGTCTCTGTTGACCCATGGCTCAGGGTGTCAGGCCCAGCCACTGCCTTCCTGCTGCTCTGGCCATGGGTGCCCAGCAGAGGGGCAGGCTGACCACCACCACGTCCCCGCCCCCGGCAGCACACGCCTAGAGATGGAGAAGTGGCTGGGGGACCTCAGCTCAGCCATCGAAGCAGCCAAGAAAGGCAGCCCCAGCCCTGCACTCCCGACCGGACCTGCATGTGCCCGCACCCCCCGTGAGTGCCATTACCCTGTCCCCCGGCAGGTGGAGCATATTGGGCAGGGGCAGAGGGCATGCCCTCATCACCCCTGGCAGCACACTGCCAACCTAGGCCACCCGAGGCCCCTGCAGAGCGCCCACTGGGTCTGTGGTGACACGCCAACTCCCCAGGACCTGCTGACGAGGCTGCCCCAGAGCAGGAGTCCGAGGATGACATTCAAGTTGCCCACGGCTCCCCAGAGGGGCTGGGCCGGCACCGTGCCAACACCACCCTGCATGTGTGCTGGTTCCGCAACACAAGCGTGTCCAGGGCAGAGCTCAGTGCCGCCGCTGAGGTGTGTCCCCTACCCCTACCCGTGCCCTGCCCCTGCCTTTGCTACACCTGTCTCTACCCCACCTCTGCCCTCCCTCCAAGCCCCTGCTCTAGAATTCTGCTGGCCAGGCCGCAGCCCAGCAGGCAGACAGTGGAGGAAGTCGGGGTCTGCTGAGCCTGCAGGTCCAGGCCTCGCGGGTTTGGCCCCGTGGCCCCCAGCACTTGGGGTGCCACGGGGCGATGGGCAGGCTGAGCGGTGTGCCTGTCCTCCCCGTCCTGGCAGAACCAGCTGTCAGGGTACCTGCTGAGGAAGTTTAAGAACAGCAGCGGCTGGCAGAAGCTCTGGGTGGTCTTCACCAACTTCTGCCTCTTCTTCTACAAGACGCACCAGGTGGGCAAGGAGTGAATGTGGGCCCTCCCATCTGTTTGAAGGGGAGCTCAGGCCCCTCCACACCTGGTCTGGTGGTGAGCAGGGTGGCCTGCCCCGCGGTCCTCGGAACCCAGCACCCTGCCCTGCAGGACGACTACCCGCTGGCCAGCCTCCCTCTGCTGGGCTACAGCATCAGCCGCCCCGAGGGGGCCGACGGCATCCAAGAGCAGCGTGTCTTCAAGCTCCAGTTCAAGTCCCACGTGTACTTCTTCCGTGCAGAGAGCGAGTACGCACTGGAGAGGTAACACACCCCACCTGCGCGGCCTCACCCTGGGTAGTTGTACCAACACCCACACCCAGCCCTCAGGTGAGCGCCCCGCCCCTCCCAGGTGGATGGAGGTGATCTCAGGGCAAGCAGCACCGCTGGAAGGGAGTCCGGAGGGCCGAGTGCCATGCCCACGCCCGCACCCGCAGAGCAGGCCTGCAGGATGCCAGCCCCAGAGGACGACAGAGGGCCAGGCTGGCCAGCGTGCTGTGTCCAGGGCAGAGGGGGTACCCTTCACTCCGTAACTTCACGAAGCAGACAGACTGGCGTGGTGCACCCGACCCTTCTCAGGGCCTGACTGGGCCCAGAGCGGATAAGCAGAGGTCTTGGGAGCCGAGGGTCTGGGAGCAAGGCTCCAAGATGGACCCTCCCAAGCCCAGCCTGGCCAGGTGCACTTGGAGACAGCAGGACACCTGGGTCAGGGGCTTGGTTGGCAGCCGGCACCAGTCCTGCCTTCTGGGGGGCACTGGTTTTTGGGGACAGGGAGGGTCACACTAATACAACACTTCCAAATAAAACATCTCCACAGACCGCGTGTGGCCCTCTGTGCAGATCCTCCCTCCCCCATGGCAGCTGGTATCAGGATTGGACAAGGCTGGAGGCCAGGTCACGTCTTTATTGAAGCCGTCCTGAGCACTAACAGCCTAACCTTGGGACACGGGAGGGGACACAGTCAGTTTCCTTAAAAAACAGCACATGGGACACGAGCACGTGGGAGCAGGGTGGGGGCAGGGGCAGGGTCCTCCACCCTGGCCCCCTCATCTGATGGGAGGACCAGGGGCCCTAGCTCTGCCTCAGTGCAGGCGGCCGGAAGGAACAGCCAGGTTTCCATATCCAGGAGCCGAGAGGCAAGCCTGAGGCAGCTTCCCTTCCCAGGTGGCTCACAGGCGGCCCTTCCCGACCCAGCGGCTCTGGCTGCCGCCCCAGGGTGGGCTGGAGAGACTCGGGCGGCGCCCCCAGTCCACCAAGGAGCAATAGGGGCCTCAGCGGGCGGACGTCAGGTGGTTTCTGTTGTGCGAGAACCTGTGGGAAGTGGGGAGCGGTCAGCATGCAGGACCCACAGGTCAGGTCAGCTGTCTGGACAGCTGCGCCAGCCTGGCTGACTCCCTCCCTGGGCTGTGGGAGCTTCCTCTTGACCCCGGAGGTAAAACAAGAGGAAGGTAGAGACTTCTCGTCAAGGGAAGGTGGCGGCGGGGACGCCCCAGGCCCTCACCTCTGCACCCGCTCCACCAGGTGGGCCACCAGCTTGTCCGAGATGCCGGGGCAGGACTCCTCCGCCAGGCTGAAGGCATTCTCCAGCTCCTCAAGGGCGCCCGCTCGGCCACCGCACTGCCTCTGCTTCTCCTTGAGCTGTGGGGGCAATGCCGCTGGCCGCTGCCCGCCCCAGGCCGGCTCACACACGCACAGGTGGGAGACTCCACCGCCCACCTTCCCGAGGGACAGGGCTGACACCGCCCCCACCAAGACCACTCAAGGGGTCCCTTGGTCTCTGTTCACAACACAGCCAGTGAAGAGCAATGGGTAGAACATGTAACGACCTGGGGGTGGGCTGGGCCTTGTGCCATGGCCAGAACAGGTCAGTCCTGAGGCCACATGCCTTCAGCCCACCCCTCGTGGCACCAAGGGTCAAACCCACAGTTTCATGAGGGTTCCAAGAGCCTGGCCTGCAGCACTCCCCAACCCCTACCCATCCCTTTCCTGGTCCACGTGGTCCCACCCCTGCACCCACCCAGTCTCCCTGAAGGAGCCCCTCCAGCCACAGCACCACCCCCGTCTCCCTGACACCCGGCCCTGCTCTCCAGCGCTACTGGCCAGGTCAGGGGGCCACAGGGCCATGTTTCCAAATGGTGCTTCTGCCAGCACTGGGGAGACCATCCACGTGAGCGGGGAACGCGTGTGCACACCCACTGGCTGGCTCCCCACCCCGAACCCTCACCTCTCCAAAGACAGGCCGGACCAGCGTGGCCAGGCTCTGGGACCTCGGCTGCCTCTGCACAGGCTCCAGGGACTGCAGGGAAACCATCTGGCCTGAGACGCCCTGCCCGGCCCGGCCCCCAGCCCACCCTGCGCAGGCCCAAACCCACCGACCTTGTGCGTGCTGTGCAGGGCGGAGCCCTTGTGCAGCTTGCTGTGGGGGCTCGGTCGGATGGTTGGGGGAAAGGTCCAGATGGGACCCTGGTCCCCATCCTCCGTGTCGCCATCACTGGGGACGACGAAGCAGCGTGAAAACCCAGGGATGCCACCGCCCCCACAGAGGGAGCCCCCGCCCTGCAGGGCCCAGCGGGTGGGACGCACATGTCTGAGTCCTCCGAGCTGGACTCCTCCCCGTGGCCCTCCGACTTCCAGCGCTTGTAGCGGTCGATGAGCTCGGTGAGAAAGGATGTCTTCTTGGTGTAGCGGGCGATGAACTTGTGCTTCAGGAGCTCCTTGGCGGTGGGCCGCTGACGGAGACACACACTGCCCACCTGCCCAGGGCAGGCCCACCCGCCAAGGACCCAAGCTTCCGCCAGACACAGGGAGGGGCACACACCCAGGGCACCCCCACCCATCTCCACTGGACATGCTGGACCCAGGGCCTTTGACTGCTGGGGTGAGGGGCCAAGAGGCTTCACCCACTCCAGTGGCCAACCCCAGGTGGCTTACAAATCGGGGGTCTTTGTTGAGGCAGGCCTCCACAAACTCCTTGAAGGACTTGCTGTGCTGGCCCTCCAGCGTGGGCGGGCTGTTCTTGGGGATGAGGAAGAGGACGCGCATCGGGTGCAGGTCCGAGTTCGGGGGCTCCCCCTTGGCCAGTTCGATGGCTGTGATCCCCAGGGACCAGATGTCGGCCTGGAACGGGGGCACACACACAGGTGGTTAGCTGCACCCTCGGGTGAGGGGAGGCACATACAACACAACACAACACACATACACACACACCTTGAAGTCATAGGCTGACTGCTTGATGACCTCGGGCGCCATCCAGAAAGGGGTGCCCACGAATGTGTTCCTCTTGATCTGCGTGTCGGTGAGCTGCCCTGCCACCCCGAAGTCGGCCAGTTTTACATCCCCCTGCTCAGACAGCAGCACGTTGGCAGCTACATGACAGAGCAAGGAAGGGCCACCTCAGCCGAGTCCCCCACGAGGGCCTGTCATCGGCCGTGAAAACAGACAAACGCCCCCAAGAACACAGTGACTGCTTGCTGAGGGTCTCACAGCCTCAGGCTGTCCGCCCCTCCCGTCCTCAGATGGAGGGGCCTCGACTGACACTCAGACTGGAGAGCCCCAGAGGGGCACTGCGGCTACTGCTGGAACTGAGGCTGAAAGACTGAACACCTCGGATTCTGAGGACCCAGGACCCCGAGCCATGCCCCCTCCCCCACCTTTGATGTCACGGTGGATCTTGCGTTCTGAGTGCAGGTAGTCCAAGCCCTTCAGGATCTCCCGCAGGATGGTGGCAATGTAGGTCTCCTCCAGGGGGCCCGGCTTGAGCTGGAGGAAGACTTCAGATAAGGCCTCCGTCCCCACCCACCGCCCGAGGGCCCAGAGTGACAGGGGGACAGGTCTCACCAGGTCCAGCGCCGAGCCGCCGCCCAGGTACTCCATGATGATCCATAGCTTAGTGCTCTACAGGGAGGGGGGCCGTCAGCACCTACCCTCATATCATGCACAGTGCTCTTGTCAGAGTGCACCATGACAGCCCTCGGGGAGACCAGGGCACCGTCCCCCACCCCCACCCCAGGGAGACTCAGTGCCCTGCCGGGCACCTTAAGGTAGGAGCCGAAGTAGCGGGTAATGTAGGGGCTGTCGCACTGGCTGAGCACGGTGATCTCCTGCTGGATGTCCTCGATCTCATCCTCGGCCTCTTCCAGGTCGATGATCTTGATGGCCACCACCTCCCTGGAGCGGTTGTCGATGCCCTTGTACACCTCCCCGAAGGAGCCCTTCCCAATACGGTCCAGCTTGGTGAAGAGCTCCTCCGGGTCCATGCGCGAGTGCTGGCAGGGTAGGGCAGGAGGAGTAGGGGTTGTAGTGTCAGCACGTGGGGCAGCCGCCCTGGCCAGTCAGACCCAATGCCACCCTGGAGAGCACACAGGGCCTGTGCCTACCACTCCCCTATGGGCAGAGGGTGCTGCATGACTAGGGTGCCTGGGGGCCATTGCCATCTGTGGGGACAGATCCCCACCCCTTGATGCCCCAATCAGCTACACCTCTGCTCCACATGCTCATGTCACACAGCAAGAGGCGCCACAGCCGGCAAGCTCAGGACCCCCCACCAGCCCCTCCACTGGCAAGAGGTGAGAACGGGGCCTCCTTGAGGCGTCCCACCAAACCAGCACCCACAGGCCTGCCTGCGCCCCGAGGTGACTCAAGTCTGGCTGCTGCCCCGAGCTTACATCTGTGACTCCAAGGTCGCCACCCACCTCTGAGTGACCACCGGAAGACACCCTCTAAGGCCCACTGGGGTCTCCTCAGGGCATCTGTGAGAGCAGAGCTCAACGTCGACCCAGCACTGCCAGCTGGGCTCCGTCTAGCACCAGAGGGTCACCGGCTCCCCCAGGTCTGCAGAGCCCGGAGCTGATCTCGGACCTCTGCCCAGCACTTGCGGACAGCTGGGACAACCTGCCCCAGGCCAGCATGGGTGGCCGCTCACACCCACAGCAATGCCATGGTCCAGCTGTTGTGCCTATCTAGCTGTTCCTCCTTTCTTGTCCATTCCTCCAAGGGCACAAGCAATTCCACCAGCCCTGCCCACCCACACTTCAGCAGGCTTCCTGGTCAGAACCTGCCCCTCTGGCACTGCCAGATTCTCCCCACCCAATTCAGGCCTGACCCTGACCTGTGCCCTCCTGTCCACACTGAGGTCTAGTGTTCAGCAAGAACCCTGTCCACACCCTGCCCCACCCCCCATGCAGTGTCTCCTCCCTCGCACGCTGCCCTCTGACCTGCCAACAGCCACCAAGTTCAGACAGAAGCGTCTCAGTGCCTCAGTCTCTCCACGCCTGTGCGTGCACACACATGCGAGTGCATCCCGACCCCCACCTCCCTGCACACATCCCCAGCTGGCAGTGTGAGCTCCCCAATGCACAGGCTGCACCCCCGAGTGTGAGCTCCCCCTTGTCTAGCACAGACCTGTCAGAGCTGCTCCTGCACCTGCACCTGCACCCACAATGACACCACCAAGATGTCCCTGGATCCTCGCCTGACCACAATAGGGCCCTAGCGCTGCCTGAGGGCACACATGTACACGAATGCTTGTCATATCTTGTGTGCACACATAAGCGCACTCGCTTACACTCACATGCCCTCACATTTGGGGGGTACGCCCCACACACTGCACACCCACACACACACAATTGTACACACTGCACTCATGCATTTACTCGGCGCACACCTGAGCATTCATTCACCGGTGCACACACACATTGGGCGGCACACACCTGGCCCCGCACACACAGGCCGTAAGGTACAGCCCACCCCACCCCCACCTGCCCGCACAGTGGGCGGCGCGCCGGCGCTCACCTGGTGAGCGAATCCCCGGAGGTGAGCCATGTCCGCCTGCG